CCCACCGGAAGAACGCGCACGACTCCCGCCCACATCAACAGAGCGCCGGCCGACCACGCAATGTAAGCACGACCGCAGCCTCATAAATTGTAGACCCGGTACCTGTTCTTGTAGATTTTGTTAAAATTTATTTCGAAAATAAGCAGAGACTAGAGGCACTTGTTCTGCCGGTAACTCTACAGAGAACTTACGGTTATGGAATGTGTTTATTACTACTCACATGGACACTTAACACCAGCGTGTCTGTCCAATTTCCTCCACCGCCTTTATAGTCCTGGTTGCCATAAACTGAAGCACTACAATTACTGTCCACCGACCACGAAAAAAGCCCTGAGGGGGGAAGTCGTTTCTGGTGCGGTGCAGAGGTAATGTTTCTTATCAGGTGGACTAGAGGGCTGCTATTGGTGGGAAGTGTGATACGTCAGAGTTTAACACTACTACACACAGACTGACAACATCAAGCAATTAAGAGTAGCGTGTAGTGAGTGCACCTCTAATGTGTTCTGCGGGTGTTGTGATAATATTCTATATTAAATCACTGTGAGGTAATGTTAAAGCAATGCCCATTAGAACACATGAAAGCCTGTCGTCTGTTGTTCGTTCAGTGGTTGTGGAACGAATGCTTTTAGGATGGGTCGTCACTCACCGCGAAATCTTGCGCATGCGCGTATATCGAATTCCTAGCAGGGATTTTCTCCTGGTCTGTGGACTGTACATTTCATTTCTTTGTTGGTAGAGCTATCTGCCGGTCGAATTTGTCACCATCACTATTACTGAAGGAGCCACCTAACGGCAATGCTTTGTATTACTACAATCTTATGCACCATAATATAGAAAACGCGTTTTACAAACATTCGTTATAACGAACGTCACAATTCATTCAAAATTTCTTAAATTCGCCAATAGATAGAGTTCCTTATAAAACAAAATGCCAAACGTATAGAGAACATAAATGTAAGATTTAAATAATTAAATTTATAAAGAAATATATTTATTACAATAATTATCAGATTATTACATGGTAATTATACTGAACTGTTCTTGGATATTAAAACTAATCAAGCCAGTAAAAAACACTGGTTTACATGCCACGCCGCGTAGAATGTTTTCTCGTGGGAACGAAATCGGTGATTTAGCCTATTATAATATAATAGGATCATCACTTGCTTTGTCTAGGTCAATTGTAGTTCTGCATCTGGTGACTTAAATATATATTTTTAAAAATTTAAGCGGTCAAGGGTCCAATGCGCATACATACATTATAATAAAAGGTATTGTATAGACCATTCGATGTTTAGCACATGGTTTTAATGCTTTAAAATGGCTGCTAACGTATACGATACGAATCTCAAAAGCTCAGGATAGCAAGATACACATAACGAACGTCTTGGAATGGAACTCCTTCGTAACCCGAGAGTTGCCTGTATTGGCGAGGGCATGAACTAATGTAAAGATAAGTGAATTGCCACGCAATCTGTTGGGAAGGTATAAACTAATGGGCCCGCGAACATTTTCTGGCCCGTTAACCTCCTTGGGTATCCTGTAACCCGAAACGTCGAAAACTCAAAGCTATGTAACCTGCTTCGCCCTGTATTGGCAGTGACATGAACTAATGTAAAGATAAGTGAACTGCCGCGCCATATATAACATTTTCACAGCAGACAGAGAAGTTAACACTCGACAAGCGTGAAAATTCGCTCTTGGTCTGAATTATTCAGCAATATTCTCCACTTGTAGGATTTGTTGGACATGAGAAGTATTTTTATAGAGCTGAAACGTTTCGGCCCTTGCTACCACGTACAACTGTTTTCGAGGAAAGACGTTCTTTAAGAATAATGCCCTGAGATTTGTCTGTCAACTGTTACATAGTAAGTTATCTGACATTGACGAGAATGTTAAAAATTCGAAGAATGCTTGCTAATCGTTTAGTTCAAAACCTGCTACCTAAGATCGTAAACATTAAAACATACGAAAATTTAATGTAGCCTTCTGTCGTAGATTGAAGTGGAGTCGCCATGTTTCCCTTACACACTCACATGTTTTATTAAACGGAATCATGGGTACAGAAAAGAAAGATAGATCAGGTTTTAGTTCAGAGATGGCGTGCGTTGGTCTTCTAGCTTTCAAACCTCAACACCTTTGCTATGGGCGAGACGTCACGTCAGGGAAGAACATATCCGCGGGTGCTTCGGAGAACATTTGTACCTAAGTGGGGTGAAGGGACTGGAGGGTGGAGACAATTACATATCAGTTGCATGATTTGTATTATTCACCAAATGTTATTTGCATGAAGAAAATCAAGGAGGATAAGATGAACGGATTACATAGAGAATGCACGAAAGACGGCACTGGGAAGACTTAGGCACAGATTGAAAGATAATACTGAAATAGATCATTACAAAACAAGTTTTAAGGGCATAAACTGGATTTATCTTAGGGACCATTGGGCAGGCTCTCATAAACACGGTAATGAAAGGAGAGTGGACTTGATGTATGCTCACGTTCAAAGAATGCAAAACGTATTTCGTGACTTTAAACGAGTTTACGTTGTGCCCGTTAACCTGTTTACAGGCATGTCGACACTAGCAAACTCTACTGTCGGAATAAGTTTCCAGCAAATGCTTGTTTATAGTTAACGTCGTAATTCAGTTACTATGGTTAAATAACTTACAAGATTACATTGTCGCCTTTATGTACTATACGTAAAGCTCTTCATGATAATGACTGTTGTTATGGAACACTAACATTAAGTACCACACCGTTAATACAAATGCGTTTACTGGATTTAATTATGAACTGGTCTATCTATCAATCTCCACTCTGAACCTCCGAAGTATGTAATTCCATTTATATTTCCACTTCAGAGTGTCCCAAAAAATTTTGGCTGTGGCATTGATAAGCTTACCTGGATGTAGAATGCTTCTCCTCGGTTGACCTGAAAGCCGTTCTCTCTGTCGTCCGTCTGTAGCGCGAACAGACTGGCAGCCACAATGGTAAGTAGTGCTGGAAAGAAGAGGTTGGCATTACTTTTTTCCACCTTCGTAGTGTTTTTCACATGCAGCTTATAGCTGATTAAAACTGGGCTATATGGCAGGCATAAACGCGTAATCGCCAGTCCTTTGTTTCAAGGATAAGACATGCAAAGTTTCCTTTAATGGGAATAAACTTAAAAATCGCTTCTCACATGTTCAAGTTACAGTGCGAATGTAATCCGGGATCGCAAAAAGGTCGAAATATTCGAAAAATCAAAAAAAAATAATGCCGCTTTTTGGACAATTTCCAGTATTTTTTTTTAAATTTTGAAGAAAAAAGTTTCAAAATTCTCCTCACCCGATACCTACCAGAACCGGTGTCTGCCGGACACGGTCTGTGACGGTACTGGTCTCTAGCGGACTCGAGACCGAGGATTGCAGAGTAAGAGTGCGGCAGAGTCTGGGTCTAGCAGAGACGTGTTCCGGTTAAGATCAGATGGGGAGAATTTTGAAGAAGAAAAAAATCAAAAATTTTCAAAAAATAAAAAAATGCCAGAAATTGTTTAAGGAGCGCACAAAACAAAAAGTTTTCGAAAATTTTGAAATATTCTTAGTTTTGTGCGCTTTTTTGGACAATTTCCAGCATTTTAATTTTTTAAAATTTTGAAAATGTTGAAAAAAGTTTCAAAATTCTCCCCATCCGATATCTACCAGAACCGGTGTCTCCCGGGTACGGTCTCTGCCGGACTCGATCTCTGCACGATCCGGTCTGTGTATGAACCGGTTTCTGACGAGCTGTCTTTGCAAAGACCTAATCCGGCAGAAAAAGGATGAGGCAGGGTGGGGATGCAAAGACCGAGGATTGCAGAGTCTGCTCCTATCAGAAACTGTGGCAAGACCGACTAACAGAGATGTGTTCTGATGATCGGATGGGGGGAATTTTGAAAAGTGCACAAAACTAAAGAAAACTGAGAATTTTCAACTTCAACATTATTTCGAACATTTATGCTTTTGTGCGCTTTTTACACACTTTCCATTATTATTTTGATTTTTCGAAAAAAATTTGAAATTTGAAATTTTTTCAAAATTATCTCCACCCAACAATCATCAAGAGAACACGTCTCTCATAGTCTCTGTCCTCCCACATCCGGTCTCTGCTAGACCCAGACAACCGCACATGGACTCTGCAAGCCTCGGTCTCT